TCTCTAGGGATGTAAAAGATGCAGCTTGGTTCGGTTTTGTCGTGTCCTTATCTATTACATGTCTTTTAATGTCCTCTCTCAGACTTTGGTGTCATTCTGTGAATAACAAGTGATTTATTGATCATGTCATCGGACATTTAGCCAAAAAAATTTAAAATAAGCAACACGACAGACCCTTCAGCGTCGATCTTTATTTTCAGTTCAAACGGTTTTATGCTAAGGTGCATTGTAAGTGTGGAGTATTTATATGAACTGTTCCCTATATGAAGTTTCCGTTCTCAATTTAAAACTCGCATATTAGCGTACGCTTTGGTGTTAACATGTTGCAATTACTTTCGTATTATTGTTTTTTTTTTTTTTTCCTGTAGAAAGATTTATCTACAAATTAAAAAAAAAACTGATGAAGGAAACAGAAGGTTGATACAGATTGGAATTAGATGTACTGTAAAATTCCAACTTAGATACCTTCTTTATGCGAAAAGCTACCTGTCTATAAAGGCCACTCCTTGTTCTGTGTGTAATCAATTCATACTAATTGAACATCTATATAACCTGTGTATGAGGACCATTTATCTCTGCTTCCCTGAATGGCCTTTGTGTCCAGGTTTTACTGTATTGTATATTCGTTTACGCTCCGGTGTTTAGTTGTCTTTGGTATTTTTGTGTTTACTTCACCTGATCTCAGTACATTTGTCGAGTCATTGTTTAAGCTTTCCATTATTCATATTTTGCCTTCGTTCTACTTTGTTCTGTTCCATCTCATGTTAGTAACACATGGTTATTATAGCAGAATTATTTTTAAAAATGTTTTGAATACTACATATCAAATTTTACTGTAAAATATTTCTATATCCATTAACAAAAGACTGAAAAATTATTCTGTTTGAAAAAAACTTAATTACCATACGCTATTAATTTAACATATTGATTTAATAATTGTAATATCAGTAAAACTGAACTAAGATGTGCACATTAAGTTTAACATAATAAGTTATAAAGACCACGCTTCTTGGTGTTAACTATATCCACTGAACCAACCATGTGTATTGCCTATTTAAGTTCTCCGAATCCCCAAACAAGGCAGTTAAAGTGTTCTACTGAAACTGTCAATTTACATGATAAGAAACAGTTTGTCGTTGAAACAGACGCTTATCTAGAATGCCAAACAAACGTCTGTGATTTAAAACACAAGAGGAAATGTACCTACATGTAATTTATCTGTTTCTAATTTCATTATTTCGAACTTATCAGCAGTGTATTTAGTATCTGTATATAGACCTGTCCATTAACGCCCCGTAAGGAAAGGAAAACAGTGTTTCTCTCTAAAGCAAAATGATTATCACACCAGAGCCGTCAATCCGCTTTCAGCATCTCATTACTGCTTAACTGTGTAAGTGTGTAATCATTTATCGATCTTATCAATTGTTTTCAGCTTTTGGGCAAATTCAAAGATACAAATATATATGTACTGATAATCTATCATGATGGAAATACATACAAATCATTTAGGGTAAGTTAATGACTTGTTTTTAATGTTTATCGACCTTCTCCATGTTACTGAAATTAAGAGTAAACGAAAGGAACAACTTTCTGTTGGCTAAATAGCTTTATCATCTTTTTGGATCCAACAACGTCTGCAGTAATGTGGGAATTTTTTTCTTTTTCTTTTGTTTTATTATCTGGCATATTATGTAACTGAATTTAGCCATGTTGGTATTTCAGACTGATATAGGATAAGTACAAAGTAATCTTTCTCTAAAGCGTCAGACAGAAAGATATAACTTAACCATAATACTTTATCTTATTTAGAATTTTATCTTAGATCAGTGAAGCATTGGCAGTGTGATAGTTGGTATTCTGCTCTGATGAATATGGATATAATCTGCCTTCAACTACAAGTCGCTAAAATTAAATTTGTTCACATAACAATCTTTAAAGTTTTGGAACACATGGTCATGTACTTTTGTACCCCATGTAATCCTTTTAATTGTTAATACTGGTTAAATTATGCTTGAGCTTGAATTTTAATTTTGTTTAAAATGTAGGTATTTTCGTTTCATTGAAAACAATAAGAAGCAAAAAGATGAAAAAATGATTTAAAACTTGTTTCCGAGCTGCACAAATCCTTTTGTCTATCTTATGGAACTAATTTCGGAGTTTATAAATTGAAGGGAAGTTCAGTATAGGAACACTTAAATATCACGCCCATTACATATCATAGGAAGAAACAAGACATTACACAGCGTCTCTCTAGATGTGTTTGCATGATCGACCGGAATGATAATTCAATTGTTATTTATCGCAAAGTAAGACCATTTAATAAGCAGTTACTATCATATCCTATTTCGATAGGTCTAGTGGTAGGTTATGGAACCCATCGGTCATCTCTGATATATGATTCGTTTACGTGAGGGGATAGTAGTTTTAACACGAATCAATATTTTCAAACGACCTAATTATTTATAAGTGTCTGTTTGAGTGATGCTAAGGCTCTGACCAATGATTTTAACCTCTCCTGCGTTTCTAGTACGCTATGCTGTAATATTTTCCAGTTATATGTATAATAGTTCATCAAGTTATTCTCAAAAAAGCTGCAAACATTATGTTCCATGATTCATCATCAATGGCATGTTTGACTTGGATTGAAATGTGCATAGTTTTTGATAGTGAAAATAACACAACCGGGGAAAACAAGCGAGGTCGGTTGTATGACCCCACTTATATTCATTATTTCATTTACGATAGGGGATTCGATCATCGGTCGTCTGTGTGAAAGACGGGAGTGCTATCGTTCAACTCTTCTAAAATAGCATGCATCGTGTGAAATGTACTTTGTTCGCTTATTTCACATGTAATAAAGCGAAATGATACACACGTGCCTTGGCTTCTTCGTTCATTTATGTTTATATGGGACTGCATTCGGTTTGACAACGACTTTTCTGTGAATATTTTATTGTATATATAGCAAGAAAACTAAATGTTTGCGATCATTTTAATACTTCTTGATGCGGTATTATTCATCAGATATTTTATAAATTTGTCTATTTACTTAAATCAACATAGTATACATTGTTTTGATGTTGAGACTAATGATGTGGAGAAGTATGATTAAAAAAGATATATATGAAAAAAACAAATGCCTCCATAGGCTGTCCATGACAGGCAAGATTTCCGTTTGAAGGAGATCTTGAGATGGCGGAAACGGTGATATCATTATTATGACAAGATAAGCCCAGCAGATACAAATTACTGTGACTTCTATCTGAGGTATTAACACCAGACGAAATTTTCTCTCCTCAAGCTATGTACAAATATTCAATTATTCCGGAGAACAGCCAGGGAATGCCCGTGTCCTCATGAGTAGATATCCTCATATGTGTCACATTAACTCGCTTGCTTACATGTCGTTAATGTTCACTTTCTTCTGTCCCCGTTGACAATTACAACCAAGGCCAGGCTGGTGTAATATGAGGCTCGGGGCGATAAGTCTGGCCACACGTCGTTCTGGCAAGAACACGCAAGGACGAACTCCGAAGGACGTAACAGCAGGCAGGAGACAAAATGAAGGCAATCTAATTTTTCATGTCTCGATCGCCATTTGAGAATTTCAGAAATATTCACTCGTCCGAACGTAAAATTAAGTTAGGATTTGCATGTGGAATAGTGTGACTGGAATGCATGCACTGATGTTCAACATATGCATTGACGAGTAAAATATAACGACCTAGTTATTTGAATAATACTAAAATGTGCGTGGCATACAGTAATGCTGATATGTATGATAAACGAGCAGTGCCATCTCAAAATATCACTAGGTGACCAAAGCTAGCTCGAAGTATTTACCAATTTATATTGTCCAACATTATTTCTTATCAGTTATGTGTATTTAGAAAAAAACTAAATTTTCGATTAGTAATCATTAAGAAATGTCATTTTCGATTCTATACTAAAACCTTTTATCCAAAATATAAATTTTGGATATTTATATTTACATATTTATATCAATGTAGAAATACAAACTTTCATATTAGAATTATACCCGATCTATCGGTAATTAATGTTTTTGTTGCTAAATGTATAACACGCGCAAATATCATAGTTTGGTGATAAAAACCAGAATGTACGAGTTTATTCATGTTTGTCTGACGCTTTTGAAGAGTAGGAACTACACACTTTAAAACCGTTGCGTTTGATCAAGATAGATTATATGACTAGTCTGACCAGAAAAAAGTTGACATCACGAGACAATTGAAAGGAACCTATTTGCAAAATTGGCTTAAAAATAGCGAATTAAACATTGATTAAACATTTGCAAATTTCGTGGCTAATCAAGAGGAAAAAAAATGACCGATAAAATATTCCTGGTCCAACAATAGGTGCATAGAGCTGATACTTCAAAGGGATATTCCATTCTTATTGTGATGACATCTATATTGTGGAAATGCTTTATAGATCTAGCTAGAGCAATTGACAAACTTTCTCGTTGCGTTATTATAAGTCGGAGAGAATGAATTATTTGACAAATCTGTAAAATTAACAGAAAATTAGTCTACTGACGTTATAAAATTGTAATACCAGCTTAAATTTTAGTGAACAGCGTACACATTTGCATATGTACCTAATACAATGTATTGCATCTATGATCCAATGACTTTTCTGTTTTGGCTTTCCCGATGTTCTTTATTTAGAGGGTATAACTGGAATGCTGACCAAAGGATAGATATTTTGATGCTGACAATCCTTTTTATCCTTTTTAGATCTCATTAGAGTGGGTTCTTAAAAGGTAGTGAAATTTTCATCTCGGGCGGAATATCCCTTTAATAATGCTCATTGACATCACTATATCAGGACAGCCATTGTTGATCTGGCGATAATATGGTTCACTAGTTGAATCTTATAAGAGTAACGAACCACCTCAAAGGAGGCACATTGTACATATTGGAAGCTGAGTTGCAAACATACACAACTTTGAAAAAAGAAAACCTAAAGTTTATCGTATTTATTTGAAAACACATTATCATTGCAACATTGTCTACAATTGTAGTAATGGAAGACTGTTTGCATAGCATTCATCACGTGATTGGTACATGTTTGCTAGAGATGGGACGGACAATTAGGGAAATAACTATCAATATTAATACCTTTCACAATTAAGCTACGTACATCAATTTATATCTTTACCAATTAAGAAAATGTTGACGAAGAAACATAATAACAAATTAATGATATTCCTATTGTTATGCGTGGAATGTCCTCCAGGTTGAAATATAAGCACAAGACTCGAGTGTTTTGTTCTACCACTGAGAATTCCCCACTGTGTTGTGTTATGGGCGCTGTGGTGTGTTTGTAATCCTCGCACGTAATAGAGACGCCCTGCATTATATACATAACAAATAGAAGCATATGTAGGTAATACAGCCATCATGTTAACATTGTTTATGTAACATGCTCTATAGAGATCAAAGACACCATTAACAATGATGTTTTTCGTCGATTTACAAACTTTAACAGAATGTTTCGACGTTGTCCCAAAGTAACTGTTTTTCCCTTAGAAAACACGTATCAATCTGTCTTCCCTTGTTGTATAATCTCCGGAATGTAGTGAAATATGTGTTACCAGCTAAAATTATCACATGACAGCACGTGTCCATGTCAGGTCGATCGTGCGACAATGCTACAGGTCAATGCATGTACCTATAGTTCATACACTATCACATATACCATATGTTCCTCCTGCACCATGCACGTGTAAATAGACTCATCGTTATGTAACGGTTACGCAGCCTCTTTACGTGCTTGGAATCCTTGTTACATAGCTTTCCTCTATAAAGTAGGTATGAGCACACGAATAGCATACACGTTTCATCTAAGTAATCTGCATCCACTTAATAGTGAACTGTCTCCCAAAATATCTGAACAATCCACAGTGTTATCCATGAAATCAGGTGACCTTCCATACTTGTTAAAATATTATTATAACATTTTTCTATGATTCTGATAAATCTGAACACGTGTAAAATCTATAATGTTAGCGTTTTTATGTTACCTCCAATCGAAGCGTTTAGATGAAGATATATAACAACTGGCCATGAGGGTCCAAAGGAGATAAAAGCGGATCCTACTAGCGTTACCCGTTATGAAGGTAGGGTCCATCTTCATCATTGTCATTAAGTAGAAAATTAAACAAAACAAAAAACGATTGAGCGTAGTTTGGTCCCAGTTCTTCAACAATCCTTCTCTCGACGCCTGTAAGGCCCCGGGCGTGCCTGCCTGCCTATAACATAAACAATACATCCCGTGAAAGATAACCGTAGAACAATGAGTTTTTTCTACCTTAGATTAGACATTTTATATAAATATTTAATTCCAGTTCAAACATACTATTCTGTTGTCTTAATATTTTATTTTGCCCCTCATAACATGAAATGTAATTCGGTAAGTCGCTTGATAAATTAGCAGTGTTGCGTATCAACTTCTGAAGAGCTGATTTAAGAAAGAAAACAGCCATTGATATTTGAATATTGCGAAGCTATTAGCTTTCGTGTCTTTTGTACAATCATAAAGATAGCAGGTGGTAGACACTGCTGGTGGACTTTTAAATCCCCGAGGTTTGATGTAACCTGCATGCGACGTCTTCATTAATTCGAATTGTTGCACGGTTCAGATTATACATATGTATTTGACACTGTTCTAAACTTATCTGATATTTGAAAATTGCAAAATTTATTCGTTTACTTAGCTGCTGCACCTCCACATCTACATTTTGACTTTTCTTTCAATAACTTTGGATTTCACTCAGTCATCCTAGGCTTCAAAAGTTTGGCCCCTAGCATCACTGACGAGTTCTTCAAGGACGCACAGCTGTATGATACAGTTTAATTCATTGTGTGGATCTATTGTACATATGTATCTAACTCTAAATTATCAAAAGGTGCTGTTCACTTGAGTGGCTTTCATACAAACGTTGAGTTTGTAATGTTTAAGATGAATTATTCTTTTTACAGTAAGAGACTCTAAAATGCAGACGAGAGTAAACTCAATTTCTAACACAAGATATGGATGTTACTTAATTCTCAACGCAAATAGTTACAATTGCTAATTAACACATGGATTAATCTGGCGAGATGAACTTTGTGTGAACTCTAAATCGATATCGAATTTGGAAATAAGGGCACTCGCGAGAACTAAAATGCGATCATAACGGAATTTGTGATTGACCACGTAATGGATGCTTCTTCAAATTCATAGACAACGATGATATACCAAATTATTTCTTTCACAATCACTTCATTTGTAATAAAACGACACATATTCACATATTCCAAAGGATTTTTCATTTACCTTTTCTCTTTGAGGAAACAGCCGAAGCTAATGTAGTTTTATCTGTTTATTCATTTATTTGTTTTGTAAGAAATTCAATACACTAAACCAACCGCTGAATAACCTCTTTATGAATGTCTCTTGTGCTATTTGGTACGTTTGAAATATTTGAAATTACTCATTCAGCAAAGATCATAAATGTTTTTCATTTGAAACATATTTTATACTTTATCTTTTTTGCGAAGTATCTAAGTAAATGTTTTTACCATAAAGCTGGACTTACAGGTAAACCTTAACTTCATAATTTGGTTCTATTATGGATATTACACTTGCTAAATCAGTCGACTCATATTTTATTGGTTTTTAGCGACATACCTTCAGTAATCTACTTCCGTTCTGTAGTATGATAAAGCAAGGCCTCGCCCACACGTGGCAGAGCAGTCGTCAAGGCAAGTTGTTGTTCCTCTTACATACGTACAAAAATAGGTTCTATATATGACATGTAGCAGGAACGGCGATGACCTGTCCCCACCGTTACTGTTATAAAACAAAGAAAAAAAACGCAGTATTTAAAACGTGAATAACATAGAATAAAGATAAGTGAAAATAAAAAACAAAGTCGAAATTTAATATACACTTATTATCTATAGACCTGCTTCGCAGCCTTTTGTGAATGTTATTGACATCAGCAAGATAGGATCACATAGTTACTATTCTTTATTTTCAATTTTAATAAGAAATAAATTATTGGATGTCTATTGAATTGATTTTTTCAAATTTTTTCAAATACGTTTTCAAAAGTGTAATGAAAGTAACCATGTTTAACAGTAATGTGACTTTCTACTCACCACCACTGGTAGAGACTCATATAAGCACGAAGGGAATGAGAAGGACACAGAAGAACACCCCTTGGGACGGTCGATTCCGACTCTGGTGATTTCCTGTTTTTGATGTATCTTCATTAATAGGTAAATTATCCGGATCTATATTAGATTCTAGAAGAGAAATTAAAGCAACTGTTTTCTAGCAAACATAAACAATCACTTTTAGTTATCTACGTTTCGATGTTTGACATTTCAAAGCAAAACTCTCCTTTTTAAGTTCGAGCTGCTACCGAGAAGCCAATTTAGAATTTCCGACTGCGTAAGAGCGGGCGCATCCGCCATGAAATAAATTCAAATTACTTGCACTAGCTAAGTACATATCAATCACCGCAATAATTACGTTGATTGCAAGAAGAGTATGATATAAAAAGTATGTGTGTATACCATTATATGCTATTATATAAAGTCATCGAGGTGCATTGCGGTACAATTGAATACAATTGCAGCATTCATATTTTTTCCTGGTGTGTTCAAGTCTGATGAACTCAAATCTACTGTTGCATTTAAACCTGGTCAGAACAATCAATTGACTATAGCTCAGTTACATTTTTTATTCCTGACATGAACGTACACACGCCAACGTTTTGCAGCGCCCCTAAACTGAAGCTTTGGTTTGATTTTTTGTGCAAAGGCGTATAATATTGACTTGGCATGGAAGATTTAAACCGATCCTCTATTGACGAAGCAAATTTTAATCTTTATTAAGCTATAAAAATAAATTTCGCGAATCGTTCGTAGAATTTTAGACAACAACCATAAATAATTATTGGGTAAGGTAATAACTTAACTAAACATTATTTTAATATGCCTGGTAGTGACATGACTACTAATTATTTATTTTACAATCTGTTTCTTGCACAAACACGTAATTCTCTATACGCTATTTAAAAATCTAAGCTGTCATTTAAAGCCTATTATAAATACACTGAAACAGAATGTTAGACCATTTCTCTGAAAATATCGATCGAATGTGTTTTGAAGGTATAATTCGCATCATTATTTCGTTTAGTTTATTATCAAATTTGCTGCGAGATTCTGATACCTAGGGCGGATGAAATGATCAGAATTGGAAACTATAAATTCCATGTATATGTTGTATGATTCCCTGTAGGACATTTCAGGAATGTTACGTAACAACTTCACGGACCCACCGACATGTTTATCTATATCTGGTTTACAACCCGACAGATTTTCTATCTAGTTTGTAATGTATCACATTTCCATGGCAAATAAATTACTGAAATAAAATTAATGAAAACAAAATAGCTCACTGGCAAGTTATAAAGACAATGATAAATCAATAATACAGGCTAGCAATTAATGATGAAACACTTATCTTTTTATCTTTAATAAAGATAAAATGTATGTTGATATCTGACGATAACAAATATGACGTTGCTGTGTGGATAACGGATGACAATACATTTTGCAACGATTTTAAATATACCAGAAATAATGAGATATGACTACCAAGCGTATTACACGTGGTTTTCATATTACATATGTAAGCAAGTGCAGTTGTTTTCAAATGGCATACAATTAGTGTTATTTTTCACTCGACATCCGTTTCAGACAAACAATTATGATAACTACTTATTTCGATTAAAATAACAAAGACACAACTAAAGCAACCTTATGATGTTAAGAAAATAAAATAAGTCAAGAACATGGAATTCCCAATCTCTATATAAGACATGGGTATCCTTAATAAACCTATTGTTGTACTCACCTCGTTTTCCGAGTGTAGATTCTGCTGTAACAAACAGTGCCAGACATAAGTTGATAAGACATAATATTTTGCGGTGTCAGTACTTTTCAGAGCAATGCACAATGATCATTTTACCATAATGACAATTATAGATTGTATTTAATAGTTTAAAAACTTAACGATGTCTGGGACTTTGATGAATCATTCAAATTTGCTCTTATTTATAAAATTTATCAATAAACGTTATCGCAATACCAGTAACCCATAAACACGGTATCGATACCATACACAATAGAACGGATATCATTTAATCTGTGTTCAAATAAAACAAAGCGTGTAGCATGCAAACGTGAGTTTATATGAAATAAAATTTCAAATCCAACTTATATTAACTATGTATAAATACATATACAAACCATGGAGTGATTGTATTAGCGTCTTTGACACAGGTGTGGGTCATTTTATTCAAGGAGAGGGAATAACAGTGAGATCAGCAATACAATTATGTTAGATTTGCAATGGAGACCATAACAGGAACCACACAAGTTTGGAGGTAAAGACATTCAAAAGCGATATGGTATTTAGTGCTATCGATATGACCTAACACAAATGTTGTGACGACGAATATCCTTTCAAAACCGGCATGCCAAATGTTCAACTAATGGCAAATTTGAGAATATACTCGTGTAATAAACATTCTTCTAAAAATTTCAATCAATATTGAAATTGTGAAAGTTATTGAATTTCATATTTTAATGAAACCCCGAATCAGCTGTGTGATACAGTTAACGTTGTTTGATACTGCTATATTAGATTTTAAATTGGTACCAACCAAAGAATATGGTCAATAACGCATCGTGATTACATCAAATAACAATTTTGTAAGCCTAATATCGCTATGTGTGATCTAATAGTTCTATTCGTTTACCCGTTTGACATTTATTGTGATGGCTCAAACCTACCAATGATATTAGTGTTTGACAAGAGTGCGAGTGAAATAGTTTTATTCGTCAGATTCTCTTCAGTGTGTGAGAGAATGAAATCCTAAAACAGTCACGGTGAGACCAACCATCGCGTGAGGCTCAACGTAACCTACCATTGAGTACATCCGATGGTCCCCGGTGTGACCTACCATTTAACACGAGTAAGTCATGACTTGTTATCTTATTGTCCGAGCTTCGACAGATGTACGTCCCAGAATCCACCTGGTCGCTGTGTCTGATGACGAGTTCGCTGTATAGAGTGTTTGTTTCCTGTCGCATATACTTTGAAATGGATATTCCTCCAATTGAGTTTGACTTAATCTTTCGTCCTTCCAGGAACCAGTCGATCAGCTCCGGGGGTCGAAGGGAACCCGTTGCGTTACACGTCAGGCGAATAGGATGTCCTCGCTCTACAAACTTTGGTCCGGATATGTGGACCTCTGGGGATACAAACCAGTGTTAATCAAGGCAGGCGTTAGTAAAGCATGCTGCAGTGCTTATACAACATCAATATACTCCAACCATAGCCGTCCACATATTTTACAAATAAGTATGAAATACTAATCAGACAACGATTTCCATTCCCGTACAGATTGTACCATAAAAGTGTATCAGATATATAGTGTACAAAACAGTTACACGCAACAGTGCGCCCTTACAAACTCTTGTTCAATGTTTCAAGAGCAATGAGATTTCGCCATTATACCTTTGACAGAGGGATGGCGAATTGTAGTCAAAGTGAGATGTTTAAAAACTTGAATTTAAGTAATGTTAGAAGAAGTTATCCGTTGGAAGCACCAATGTGTTAGAGTGAATAAAGTACACGACATTTACTAAATACGTTAAACTTTTTTATGTTCTATGTCAGCAGCAAAACTACTTCAGAATGTCTTTGCAGCTATCAAACTGGTCATTTGAAACACAATTTGAATGCCTTGCACTGACCATCCACTTTAACTGGACGTGTCAAACATGATAACTATCTTTTAAGTAAGTTGTCAACATACTCATTTGAATAGAAAATTATTCCAGATACGCGTTTATTTAAACTTATGTTAACTGTTTTATTAGTATGCTAGGGATATGTATTCCTGTGCTAAAGTATTTCGTTCTAAAACATTTTCTTCAATTATAGAAATTCGATGAAGTGCAGATGTACGAGCACTATTATCCATGAGTCTTTACAATCGAACATTGATAGACTATCAAATATAAACGGGTTTCTTCAAAACCTATAATTGATCTACCAGAATTAATAATGGGATATCAGAATATCTGACACTGCTTTACATTGTCAATGGACCATGAAAAACATATATCAATGATCTACCTTTATGCTTGATAAGCCACTAGAACATCTAACGTTGAGCTACCACGAGAATGAATGGATCATGCATACAGCTAACGCTGGTTTACACAATGTAGCTTAGCTATTAATGAGCTAGCTAATATATCTACCTTTGCTTTACCAAGAACATCAATGGAACATTACAACATATATTCCTGATATACATCGCATAAAACAAGGTCTGTAAAATACGCTGCTTTACCACGTATAGAAAATGGCTTCATGGACATTCAATAGGCTCTTTAAAATGATTTGTATAGACAAGACCTGACGCCATATACATTTGTCATTTCCCTTTTGTAATTGTACTTGTATTACGTGTACAACAGAATCAATTGCATTAAGAAAACATATTCTGAAATAAAATTAACTAGATTAAAAATTAGCCGTCGTGGAATGTTTAAAATACGCCGTGAAAAGGATATCCGAATTAAGTACACAGCACAGTAGGTGGTGTTGTCAGATCTTGCGAATTTCGGCCAATTCATCAGCGTGACAGGATAATTATATCTCTGCTAAAATGATAAACATGTACAATTTATGACAATAAGAGCCCCTTCACTTTAAATCCTTCTATATGATTATAGGCCAGCTCTTTTTATTTGATTAAATCCTTGAACATTTTAGAAATTGAATATCTTCAAATCTGAAATGTATTTTATATACTATTTATATGTTATATGTCTTATACGCTTCACATTGAGAAAATCAGATGTTTCCTTAAATTCATTAGGTCTAGATGGATATAGAATTGTTGCTTTCCTTTAATTTCCCGTTACAATTTATTGTGAAAATCATTTGACTTGTCCCATAAAAATATATAACAAAATATATAACTTTTCATACGTCTTTCATATTTGTTGTGTGATCAACCCGTTAGTCTGTGTTAATTGATACAGGTATCCCTGTAGGTAAATCAATCCTATTCTACCTCATTGTATCGTCTACAACACATTTGTGCTGATTGTCCATTCTTACAGAAGACAATATTGATAAAGTGTCCACGAGTAAGCAATCCTCTGTTGTCTGTCTATCGATACAGACACCCGTGTGTGTTAATTAATCATCTGTTGTTCAACTTAATCTTGACATTCGAGTTTCCATTGATTATCTAGCGTCTGTCTAAGTAAGATCGACAACAGTGTGTCCCTTGATCAACGATCTTGTAGTGTCTGACTAAAGCATATAGACACTCTTCGGCGTCTGTAAATCATACGCGCTCTAACTTAATAAAACTACACCAATAGGGGCCCAATTAACGACTATTGTCTATCTAAAATTAAATCAACACATTTTGTGTCGTTTTGTCAAAAATAATTTGTAATTTGAAATGTTAATATAATGACGTCATTACGCTTGGAAAGATCATGCAAGTGACATGTCATTTTTTTAACACTTCATGATTTCAAAATGCACCACATTATTAATTCATAGTTCCAATCTCTGGGAACCTTATGTAAAAAGAAGAATATGGCCGCCTGCTGGAGTATATTGAAGCAGTGAAGGTGTAAAGACGTATGGAACATATTCTGAATTCACAGTTTGAACGTGGAACAGGCAAACAGGGAAAGCCACACTGTTAACTTATCATTGACTGACGTGTAAATCATAATCCATACTCACCTGGATAATTTTTGCTTGGTTCATCTGAAACATATATGAAAACATGCATCAAAATGTGACAGCATAGCGTTTAGTAAAATAGAATAACATATTGTTTAATGAAAATTCTATCGTACACAATAAACGGTTTCCATCAACCCCTTCAGAATGAAATCCCGGTTTCAAGCATCGACTACTGACGATCAAGCCGACGTCACTATTACATTTCTTACCATATCAAAATGTTGTTTCAAAATGTTCATGTTGGAAACTATTCTTTGTCTATAGTTTACAAGTGCTCTAGCTTATGTTTTCTGATTTATGTTTTATGATCTTGTTTTTATGATTTTATTTTCGTATAGAACGTTTAGGGGCGCTTATTACATTTGATGTTCTACGCCACTGACACAGGTCTTCCTTCCTGCCGTTTATGTTTCGGGAACGTCTTTGATGTATTGTGGAATGCTTTGCTAGCATTCATATTTGAACCCATTATAAACCAAGATATAAGTAAACATGATGATGTTGTGGGTTACTGAACGGTAGGAAATGATTAATTACATTTGCTTTCTCAATAATGTATTCTGTCGGAATCAATTTGCCAATTATAGGGTAATGTTGGCCACTTCTTTTATTAATGAACTATTTAAATAACAAGTAGGTCAGATAAATGTGTCATAATTACGGTACAGCGTATAAAAACAGCATATCACCACCATAAGGGTATTCACGGAAACACCCATAACATATCAAAACCTATTGTACCAATAATCATCTAAATTGATTAAGACAATTTCATTGATCTGAGAACATTATTCTAGCTTGGAATTTTAACAATTTGAAATTTAACAAAAGTCATTGTATAATTTGTTTAAAGACCGCTGACATCTCACAAAATCCTCCAAATAGAAACTTTGCTTCTCAATATTTTTAAAAGCCTGTAGTTGATATAGCTTATCGACAGATGTCATACGTGAATGTCTGACAAATATTTGTAGGAACTAAGTCGATAGCAAAAGACGTTAAGAAACAATACTTAACAACATGGATACAAACAAGTACATGTATATGGTTTGCTGAAAGTCGAAAACTATCACCAACGTATTACTTTCGGTTTAATGTTTTCCAATGTTTTAGACGTAAATGAACTCTCCTGTAAAAGCGTTCTGGTGACACAGGCCGCTACGCACAATTAAGAGGAGGCATGGCTAGCGAAGAATTAATGGTGTGGTGGCAGGCTCAGAAATGATAAGGCTAGCACCACAGACGATGTTATTGCCGTGATACCGGTCCAAATCGTCTCGTCTGTAGCCACATGTCACAGGTGACAGGTCTTTTTACATTCACACTCACACTAACGCCGGCAATTCATACCCCAGGACCAATACCACTGACGTTTATGGGATCTTAGTCTTGAATGCATTTTCCATCTAGCTAGCTTTCTTCGTGTTGTGGTGGCTATGCCAAAACCATATCGACTTCTTTGGTGTTGCGTAGGTATTTATCGTCCCCGATGTATTGCATAAATGTCGGATACTTCCGAAGTCGCATCGCATCGAAAACATATTGAGAAAACACATTCTCAAGATTATCTTGAAAAGGATATCATGCTGTAGCACAGACGTACACATAAATAAAACGTCTTTGCTGTTTTGATGAGAAATGTGAGGACATTTGACCGTCTATTGATCCGTACCTTAGTTCAGTAACAGGGTATTTCACCAATCATATTTAGGGTTATTGAGCTTCTTACATAATACTTTAGACTTACTCGTATGAGTGCACTATTTGACAATCATTAATACCTTCGAAAAACCAGGGTAGTTTTGGACCTTGTTACATTTTATATCCTTTCATATATCTTCAATTTATCTTCGATCTGATCATTTATTTATATATCTATTTTTTTATTTTTAAACATTCAAGTGCTGTCATATACAAAATACTTATCTTTCGGCTTTATAATACAAGTCCTAAGTGCGTTGTTAATACATTCGGACACGTTGTCAGTGTACTCATGTACGGTGTCGTAGTAGAGAGAGGAGTGATTTTATATACGAGGATGTTTGTTCTGATGACGTAATATTTGCCTGCATACATGTCAATGAATTGGTGTCTGAATCTACAGAAGTGCCTTATGATGTGGTGCTGATATGTATTGGCGGATGTCGAGCGTTATCGGTCTATAACCAAGAGTGTTGACTCATTGTTTTAGAGTGTATGGAGGAGTGAAGACGACATGGTCTGTTTTCAATGTTGATGTCGTGGTATTTTGAAAATGTTCTGGTTGTCTTTATCAGTAGAATGCGTCTTATGAAGGTCATTTGTTTGATGACGTTTGGTGTGTAGCTGTTCAGAGGAGTGTTTAGGACATTGTGGTGTCTGTCTGCACGGGAGAGTGAAGTCGAAGTCGTTTTACCAGTACGCAAGAGTGTAAACGACATATTGTCAATTCTACCAGTGTATGTAGTTGTTCCGGTGTCAGTTTGTACAGAGCAGTATAGATAAGTGTTAGGTTGTACGGAGGAGTGTAGATGAAGTGTTAGGTTGTACGGGGGATGTAGATGAAGTGTTAGGTTGTGCGGAGGAGTGTAGATGAAGTGTCAGTTTGTACGGAGGAGTATAGATAAATGACAGATTGTACGGAGGAGTGTAGATGAAATGTCAGTTTGCATGGAGGAGTGTAGGTAAAGTGTTAGGTTGTACGAAGGAGTGTAGATGAAATGTCAGTTTGTACGGGGGAGCGTATATGAAGTGTTAGGTTGTACGAAGGAGTGTAGATAAAGTGTCAGTTTGTACGGAGGAGTGTAGATAAAGTGTCAGTTTGTACGGAGGAGTGTAGATAAAATGTCAGTTTGTACGGAGGAGTGTAGATAAATGCCGGGTTGTACAGAGGAGTGTAGATGAAGTTTCGGGATGTACGGAGGAGTGTAGATAAATGTCAGGTTATACGGAGGAGTGTAGATAAATGTCAGGTTGTACGGAGGATAGTTTTTACTTTGTTGTGTTTATAATTCATAAATAACCATAGATAAATAATAAAATATATTAACTGATTACCAAGGTGTGATACATCGTTAATTTAAATAAACGATCTAGTGTGATATTCAATTTAAATCTAGAGTGAAGAGAGCTACGTGAACGTAAATCAGACACAGATCTACACCAACCAGTCTCACAACCCGCCAAACAGTCTCATCGCACGCAACTCAGCATTACTTATATCGAAAACATACGGCGAAATCGAGTATAAATCACATTTGGAAGAGAATAAACACAATATAGATATTATTTAAACACATATGCTTGCGTTGTGGTGAAATATAAATTGTACTTTTTCGTGTAATTCAAAATAGATATTTTCGATATTGATATAGGCTTTATTTTTTCATTAATAGCTGATGTTGGTGCAGCAAAACGGCCTGTACACCGTTCTGGGAATATGTAACAGTAGCGACCGAAATCCCAGAAAGTTCCTGTGCACTGTTTGCATACATTAATGGGGCTTGCCATCTTTAATTTCCATTGATATATACAAACACACACATAGATATAGAGTGAAATTTCTGGTTGAGGCTTAACATTTATATATATAAATGTACAAATGTCAGTATGTAATTTAAATAATCAGGGAATAACCTTTACCCATATCAGTCCACTCTGGCGTACTGGGTGATCGAAATCAGCATTGATATACAGTTCTGTGTCACCTCTACCTTATTCATATCACATATTTAGTAGAAGTTTTGTTCCTTTAAATACTTCACCAACAAATCCACTGAAATTTCGTAAAAGTCTCTTGTGCGAGGCTGATCCAAAAGTTAAGAGAAATGGACGTCTCATTCTTTCGGAAATATTTATTTTCTATTACAACTTTTCTTTTAATGAGTCGGTGACAGCATTTGTCCGTTTCCTTTTTCCAAAACCCTGGACCCATCATTAACATGTGTTTGTACTCCTGCAGTCTTGCGCGTCACCATTGTGGCTGATGTGATTGTTTCAATGCAATATTTAAATCACCCAGCCTTCGATGAACAACTGGTGTGCTTTTACAAACCATCAATGCTGTTTTCATAAGTAATCTAGTATATGTATTTTTGGGTGACAATAACAAAAGTATATGTAATGGGACATTAACGTGGCAACGGTGTCTGCTTTTGTTCGGGCGTATTGCTATAATACAATTAAGAGATAGCATATAATTACTGCATATTGATAGAAAAAATGAAGTGGGATATTGGCAGATTGCGAACATGTCTAGATGGGTTTAGTGTTATTCTGATGATGAGTGTCTGTGTATTATATCCTTGTCATACACGGAAATGCTCCTGTGTTCTGGTAAAGATATATGTCTGGGTGTAATCATACTTGCGATTTATGAGTCGTTTTAATATGATCTTGATTAATCAGAAATACGTGTAAAATGATTACCATTATTGTAAGACTATCTATATTTATTCTTTTATATTTTTTTCTCATTTTAATTAATTCATTTTTTGTTTTTTTGTTTGTTTTACGATTAAATTTGATGACATAATGATTTTTGAAATAACTGTTCTGGCGTGGAAATGCTAGCATTGTTGTGTTTTCATCTCGTATTATTATTTCACCTCGAGTTTTTTTTTTTTTTTTTTTTTGCAAATGTGCTCATTTACACAGCGCGAATGATTTTTACTTGTAAATTATGTTCGTGTAATATGAAACATTATAGTAAGGGTGGTTGGCATATCAACACATATATATTTAGAATTGAAATATGTTTCTAATAAAATCAGACAGTTAATGGTTGTTGGATATGATAAGAAATTATCTTTTAACAAGCTGTACTGTATTTATGACTAATGTATATTAAGAAACTGAGGAAAAACTTCAAATATTTGGTACAAACAACAATAGCCATCGGATATATTCCGAACTGGTATAAGAACGATTATGCGTTAGTCAAAGCAAGGGCAATAAGCTTAACGGGTTAACGTATGTAATATGTAAATAGTTTGTGATAGTTATGAAAAAGACAAACTATAAATGCATTCATTGTTTGAAAGCAGTCGCTAGGTAGTTTGCAGTTAAACCATTATTTGGAAACAGTAGCATGGTAAATATCGGCGAAATATTAGACAGGATGTTCAAAATTTTGTTTTATATCAGGCGGATAATCAGGTGTTAGTGTGACTTTGTTCGACAGAGAGAGAAGACAGTTACAAAGGTAATGGTTTGGTATCGGTTGTTTGTGTGTTAAAGAGATAAAAAGGGATGCAGTAGGTTTATATCGATGACTAATGCAATCGGTTTAGTAACAACAGGATATCTGGTTGGAGGTTAAAACAACATTTATAACGAACAAGGAAAACAATGATGAATTAACTCGGAAATATGTTTAAAACGGATAGAAATGCAGTTATTATGGCCAAGAAAACTGGTTTTAGGTGAGGCATGATAACAACTTACATACATAAATATAACTTACTTCTTATACGCGTCCGTTTATCTGTAAATAAACGTACACAAAGAAACATAATAACGTTACAACAGTATAATGCACGTGCAAGTATTTATTTTTTTTTTAAATGCAATTACTCCTTCTGATTATTGCACGTGTTAATAAGTATTAGTTTTACAAAGTCTTAAGATATAATATATATATATATAGGTAGATTACTGGAATCATAATCCAGGTGGTCATGGTAGTTATTGTGTTGGTTTAATTACCTACATATGTAAGTATGTGCACAATAGTTCCGCTGTGGTGATGCTAACGCATGTTACCCAAGAGGACATGAAGAACGCCAAAGCTCGACATGAAGTATGTTATTATGGAGGATCGCTACTCGACATCATCATTTGTAACTCGTGTCATTCACCAAACACCATACAGACATACACCGTGTTGTACATCTGTAATTAGTAGATGCTGTCCGTGAACTACAATCATGGAGGTACTTGTAATCACTGTCAGAACAACAAGCTACATCAAAGTGGTTACAGGGAAAGTTCACCATCCTTTACTAACACTGCTTCCCTCGTGCCAGAATACTATACACCTAACATCATCAACAGTTTCCGATACACACAGCATCGTCAACAAAATTATTTCCCAACCAGGGCGATAAAAACTATTTATTTAGGAAATGTTTCTAGGGTTTTGTGGTTTTCTCCATGTTTATGTCTAACGTATGTTGAAGAGTGATGTTGATTCTTAAATACCACTGACTAGTTTTCCATAACTAGGTCAATAACATTGCTGATAAGTCGCATAAGAACAAAATATCTGTATGATGCAATTTTATTTACTATTCGGCAACGGTAATGTATTAAATTACCAACGAATACCACTACACCCACTAAAGTAACCCATTCACTATTGTTAAACAATAATTGCGCTCATCAGTGCATATGTGTATAATAAGTAGGTGGTCGGGTGGCACAGTGGTAACGCGCTTGCCTTTCCCCCAGTCGTCCGGGGTTCGATTACCGGAATGAATGTGAAGAGGTATGGGGTCACCTGCCCGGCCACTTTGGTTTTTCCCGGGTGCTCCGGTTTCCTCCCACACGTAGACCCCTCGCGCGCTTCCTTCCGATCCAACAAGAGTGATTCATAGAAATTGGAAAAACTTGCTTCGCAATTGTTGTAAAATAGATATTATCACTAAATAAAAAACTAAGCAGGTGAGTTACAATAGGGAGTAAATGACCCATCGTAGGCGAAATTGGATTTCAATGTTAGCAGATGATATAATACAGTCCTCATGATGTCAACAGAAACCATTGTATACTATTTCAATCCCACGTTTTTAACGGTCTCTATACCAATTCATTGCCAAATCATTTACGTTTCATTTTATCATGAGAATAAAATGATTTCTTAACGATCAATGAGTTTGTCTGGCTGTTTTAATCGACATTTCGTTTCAAGCTTCGTAGGTCAGGAGGACTTAGGACCCCATCCCAGGATAGTTCTTAGTTACAATATTGACGTTTATCTGCTGGTATATCTAGTAGCTTCAAGGACTTTTCTGCAATTTCTTTAAACGTTGTCAGATAAGGTAAATTTTATTTCTCACAACGTTATCCTCTTGGGAATATTATATCTAGACTACAATTTAGACGTGGTCGGGAAAGACAGCTCTAGTTATGCCACTCGTCATCAAAAGATGTCTCATTTTCTTTGTTTTCCTTGAAATGTAATGTCCCCGGAGAAACATCATACCGCCCAGTTAGATAAGGTTGTCTTTATCCTTCCATATCGATAAGCTGTAGATATGTGTATAAGAGCAAATGAGTTGGTCGTACACAATGGTACGTATCCGCTGATAACTCGCATCAGAATTTCCATCTAAAGATATCATCTGTCCATTTAATAGAACTTTTGTAATAGTCTGGCTTTAAACGAAGCTGTTTACGGTTTAAACCGTCTATGAATGTAAATCATCAAATTTGAATATTATCTTAACTTTGAAATCAATTTTATCACGAATGTAAGACATCTCCATGTGAAAAAGAGTGTTGCAATTTACAGATCTATGGTTAATTTTCGTTAATACTTTAATATTTATAAATATATCAAAATAGAAAAGGCAATCTCGTTGGTCAGAACCGGTGAACAGTAAATATGCATTTATTTATAAAAAAAGAAATAAATCACTATTTCAATGTTAGCATATGAAAAAAATAATTGTAAATGTTCGTTGTTGCATTGTACGATGTATACTTTTGCAGGGAAACATATTTGAATTGATCAGCTATAAGAGGCATATTTTGTTTTACAAGTGAGAACACTCTTAAAGAAAATCAACTACGACATTAAACTCTTCGTTATGTCACGGTACACTGATTCTTCTTCAGAAACTTCAAATATAGGCATCAAAGAGCTGTACTATATACTGTACCTACACGAGCGTTTTATTAATTATCATTCTACATCATGCTATAGTGACCGGGAACGAACACCCAGTTTTATAGTAGTCAATGTTAAATAATTTAATGGGATAACATAACATCATGATATATATATGGGCCAGTTATCAGGTATTTTTCAATGTATTTTAATAGTGTTGTTTGTTTATTGAGTGTATCGCCGCTTGATTAGTAAGGGTCATACTAAGGTGGGGTTTCCTTCTAATAGCTTGAGTCTAACTCACTGAACAACATACGGGATGCCTTTCACAGCCATCCAGAACCATTAGGATAAAGTGCCTTGCCCAATGACATCACGTCACGCCACGGCTAGGGAGCGTCGAACCGCGCACCTGTGATCTTCAACTGAGTTCATGTAGGCCAAAGCTTTGTTGAGCTTTATTGTGATTTATATTTAGTTGCAGAAGCTGCTTAAGATTATCACATCATAGTGACTTGAGACACCTTCGTTATTCGAGCTGTTATATGTATGTTCATATCCATAGCCGAGGTATGCGTTCAACTAAGATAGATAAAAGGAATTCTTTGCTAATTTTGTTACCAGATACAGCACGAATTCTTGAGATGGATATCTGCTGAGACCATTTCATAGCATGGCGAAATTTCTGGGGACTTGTAAGTAGAACAAAATGCCAAAGCATCCGATAAATTATAACTTCCGGTGACAACGAATTGTAGCTAAGAGAGTTACCTGAGACTGAAAGTGTGATGTATCGATGCATGTTTTCTTTAGTGCTGACTTGACATTCGTACTTTCCGGCGTGTTTAACCTGTACATTGTTGATCATTAAGTTCCATTCGTCTCGGTAGGGTATGTGTTTAACGCTAAAGCTTGGGTCCTTCACAAATACGAACTCGCCCACTGTCAGAGCATGTTTTTCCTTCACTTTCTTCCATATAACCTGAAAATAAACGAATATATTATTTACACAACCATTACAAAACGCACCCACCGGACTATAAATATATCATGGATCAGAGTTCCATCGACGATTGTCCTGTCTCTCACAAAGCAGCGGACTGTTGCTTAAATCAAACACAGAAATTGGCTTTGATGAGCAAAACATTTCTTCGCATATAATTCAAGACACCGTGCAATGCATTTAAAAAAACAGCTTCTTATTTCTATCTTTCTTTCCTTATCCAGTGTAAAGACATTTTAGTAAGTAACATAATATGCTTTACTGTGATAACATAATGCTATTTTCAACATTTGATAGTTTCATTCATTTTGGACCCATAATATTAGCGTGAAAAATGAAAAAGAAAAAAAAATAATCCCAGACTGAATTACAGATTTCCGGAGCGACTACACTGAAACAAAAAAAAAAAAAAAAAAAACCCAACAGCAGGAAACCTTTGTTTTTTTCTTAAGTATTGATCTTTGTCAATCTGAATTTAAACATTGTAATGTTTCCTGTGATGCAGTTGCATAACGGCACCCGTGAAATTATAAATCTTTCAACCCGACTCCATGAAATGCACGCATAGCTGTTATTCATCGTTAAGCGACAACTATCCTCCTTCGGTTTCAGCATTGTTTCAAAACAAAACAAAAATTGATTACATTTGATTTTTTCATTAGAAAATTATTTTTACATAAGTCCAGCTAAACTCGAATGTCTGCTTCAACGACAAATCTATTTTTTGAAGATGAAACTCCTTTCAGACGAACCCAATAGGTATGCGTGGCTTCATGTTGAAGCCAAGTATATTAAAGAGTGTACTTGATCCGAAATGAGTACGTCTGATCTTCTACACAAATCTGTATATTCAGTTGGAAACGTGATGCCTTTTATAAGGTTTGATTACTGAAGAAGCCGACATCACCTATGACAAAGTACAGACAATCTGTCTCTGAACTTTTTAACGCATTAGGTTTTGTAAAGGAAATATCCAGGACTTGTCCACACAAAAGGAAACTACCAATGGAAACACTGGTTACCAGTGGTGTAGATCACCTTTGTGTCATGTATACCGAGACGTTTCCATCCCATGGTTATACAACTGACTATCAGTCTGCAGCTGGCTAATTTTTTTCTCCGTGGATTTCCATAGAAGTCTAATATGCGTTTATTAAATCGTCTTAATATTGCCTTTATATTTCAAATCAACTATAAAAAGGCCGCTTTCGATAAGTCTTTCCAATAAAATGACAAGTAATTGATATCCAAAATATTTTTTCCGGGGCATTGAAAAACGAGACTTAAAAATCATATGTAGGTTGCTAGAAGTTCGTCAGCCATTTCAGTGAGAGAAAGTCCGTCAATCATGAACGCGGAAATGTCCGTCTTTTACTTTTAACTTGACCTCACGTCATGCCTAGTCTCCGATTCACGCCTGAGTAGTTAACTAACAACAATCACAACCAGCGGTTGATTCTGAAATTGGAACAATAATGACATAATTTCCAAAAACTCACAAGTCCTTAATCTGTGTTTCAACATAACATGTACATTATGTGTATTTTTCATCCTGAACCTAGGATGTATTTTTTTTTTCAGAAATTTGTCGTTCGCGGGTCAAGAACTTAAAGTGATTAAATGTGATGAGCATTTTTTTCTTCGAACGTAACATCCCCGACGTGTTGGTATTGTTCTAAATTATCACTAGACTTAATACAGTACCTCTCGTGTACAGTATTCATACAAAAATAACTAGAACAAGATTATATTTCTGTTATGTTGAAGACATTATGGTGTCATATATCCTAATTTTTATATGCACTCATATATGAAAAAAATGTTTTAATCGATTAGAAATATATGTACCATTGACGAAATATTAACAGATTTTTCTAAAAAAATTAACTCTACAATATGTCTTTCCAGAATGAGCAGCTAGACCTGAAATATTCTTATCTTATCGATAAAGATATTTAAAAAAAAAACCGCTTCATTAGATTTTATTTTGACAAAAGAATATTTTCTGAAGAACAATATGTCGCATCAAATGGGTGAAAAACATGAATATCATAAAGGTTTGTCAATTATGCAGTTATGAATGCCATGCTTTTTTTATTATGCAAGCCATCATAGAACGCTGGTAAGACACACTGTATATAGTGATAATCTAGACTACTTTCCGGTACATTGGTGCTTACAGTGTACGTTGTAATGGCTTCGCACATAATAATAGAGATAGCAGCAATGGCAACCGAAATGCCGTGGATGATGAAAGACACAATCTCCAATGGTGTATGTAAATACTTGCTTTGCCAAACACCATGCTTCCGAAGAAAGCTTCAAAACAGACAGGAAAACTATCGTTTTGCAATGTTCTGCTTGAGTTTGTATGATTAACGACCAAGAGATCGCCTTAGCACTCCAGTGCGCAAGTACAGAATTGGCACCGGAAGATAAGAGTAGTGTGCTAAAGAAGAAACGAAGAAAGCGGATAAATCTTTTGATGCCCTGTGCTGGTTCTTTAGTTCCGTCTCGTTTTCGCTCATTTGTCATGGACAGTAAAGCAGAGTATGTCAGCGGGAGTGTCGTCGTGTATATAGATAGTCGGGAAGAGAACTCGGGTAATACCGTTCTCCTCCCCGTTAATGTTGTATTTGGCAGATCTATAGCTACCCGCTGATGGGCGTGGGCCGGCAAGTAACTATCGAGACGGTAGGGAGTCATGTGACGCACGTTTCATAGGAATGTCAGTCAGTTATGACACTAGTCATAATTACATAAAGTCGTCTATTCAGTTAATGAGCGTACAAACTGTACAAATATTTAGTTCAAGGTATTTTCCTATATAACGATGACGCATGATACAGATCAAGGATTTAAAGTAGGAACAAGTATTTATATCATACGTACATGACTTTGAAATCATATTAAGCTTTCATTGTCATGATTTACTATACGTGTAACTCCAAGCTGGGATAAATCCGTCATTGGTGCAGTTCACGCTTCTTCAAATTCTTCTTAGGCAATTAATATACGAGTATTTCATAAACAATCAAAATGGATTTAAAATATTGATAATCCTGTTTTACATGTACCCAGAACAGGATTCAAAGCACGTGCAAGTTGTCATTGGTACCTGCAAGTTGTATGTTGTACCAAGAATTAGAACTCGGTGCACATGCAGATAGACATGTTTGTCACAGGATCGAACGTGTACTGTTGAACGTGGTATTACAGGTGATATATGGAGTAATGATGTTCAGGTGTACCGTAATTACAATAAGCGCTGAAACTTTTTTCGGGTATCGAACCTTTGTTTTCTGCTAGGGTTATGGCTCATATCTTCGTAAATGTGGGATTTGTTCCGGATGGATTGATTTTACATTGTATATGTTATGTTAAACCTGGGGATTTCAGGATCCAGACAGTAGAGATCTAGAGATACTCTGTTACAATCATAACTTCTTTATGAGTGTGTGGATGTTTACTCCAGATTCTCCTGGGATGCCGTTTAGGGAAGACCAAAAACCTTTTGTACGGGGAATAAAACCGATTCAGTAATATCCGTTTAATTGCTGGCGGTGATGCAAATATATTATATTCCTGAAGGATGCATTACTGCCAAATGCAAATATATCCATAATTGTATGACCAATGTGGTGGAACTTTTGAAATATGGAAACACTGACGAAGCAAACATGATCAGATTTAATATTGAATGTTTGCCGTAGATCATTTGTATGTATACATAGTGTTAGGTTACAGGAATTGAGTCACATTAACATTGTATTGTTCTATGGGCCAGTCTGTATATCGATATAAACGGCTGAGACGGGATACAGCTAGTATTACAATTAGCTTTAACGACACTCCAAATCGACAATCTCGAAATAATAAGGGATTTGCTTATAAATTACGTTTTATCGTGTTTAGAGGGAATGGAATGGAAGGTCGTATACCGCATTAGAGAGCCGGAGACACTAGCCTTTACGAACGGCGATTGCCCGAGGGACCGATAGACCATCAAACAGTAATAAGGCGAAATCTAGGGCTCTCTTGCCAATTCCTTTTAGTCTGACGTACATGTATGATATCCATGTGACGGTCATTTGATATTTTTGTACTCTAGATTTAAATGATAGGTAGATAAATAATCAATTAATAAGTTATGGATTATATATTTTTTTCATTAAATTGTAAGCGTTCTTAGACGTTTTCGTTTCACATAGTGAACGCCGTTTGCCTCTTTATATGCTGTTTCAACTATGTTTAGAAAAAATACTTCAAATAATCTAATCAGTTAATTCATTTTTTTAGGTTTCAATAAGTTGTCAGCGTATAACCACTACATTATTAGATTGCTTCTGTTATAGAACTCCTAAACTTTTTTCCTGGAAATACACACTTTTGACTTTAATCGAAATACACTAGAATTAATTTCTCCGAGTCTTGTTCAAATATTTGGTGTTCACCAAATGAATTTTCAACCGACATTTTTCAAATGTCAGAACAACATGATAACTGCTATTTACGGAGACGAGTGAGCGTACTATTAACGATCAACTACGTGATTATTTGTAACAGATCGCTATGGTCAGAGATAGGATTTGAAGAAAATGAGACGAAAAAAAAATCCGCCATACAAGTTTGTAATTTTAAGTTGAAGTTCTGCCAGTTGTTTTGATTAATAGTGCCATTTTGATCAAGCTTCCATCCCTCGTCGGCGGCAGGCCTCGCGGCCATGTTTTTTTCCCTATCTATGACGTAGTACGCGATGATGCATGGGCGGAAATCCAATATTTAACCAGAACATTTAATTCTCCAGAATCTGTACTTTTAAAATGGAGACATGGTCGTTATGATGACAGAACACGAGTTTGTGTTAACACGTTTTCAGAGGCGTGTTAAAATACCACATAAATCAAATATCATACAGTTCCTCCATTCACTAAAACATCTCCCAGACAACATCTAAACAAGTTAGATTCCTGTTTTGC